GCCTAAACCCTAAACCCCTAAATCCCTAAACCCCGACACCCTAAACCCCTAAACCCCTAAACCCTAAGCCCTAAACCCTAGGCCCTAAGCCCTAAACCCTAAACCCTAAACCCTAAGCCTCTAAAGGTTCGATAACTTCAACGACGCCTACAGTCCACTTGGCTGTGCAGACCTCCGGAACCTCGGTTTTTGGTGGAGGGCAGGGACATGGGATCATGTGAGCTAGAGCCTAAACTCCTTAAAGGGGGGTTATATAGGGGATTATATAGGGGACTACTATAGGGGTTATTAGGGGGGATATTAGGAGTCTAGACAGTAGCTCATGTGAGCTAGAGTCTAAACTCCTTAAAGGGGGGTCATAATCTAGGGTTTAGGGTTTAGGGTTTGGGGTGTAGGGATCAGGGATTAGGATTTAGGGTTTAGAGATTAGGGTCTAAGATTTCGGGGGGGATCACGTGAGCTATATTGGGGTTATATAGGGAATAATGGAAAATAAAATGGAAACTACTATAGTATAATAGGGCCGGCTATATCATATGAGCTATAGTCTAAACTCCTTAAAGTGGTGTTCTATGGGGACTATTATAGGGTTTAGGGTTTAGGGTTTAGGGTCTAAACTCCTTAAAGGGGGTTCTATGGGACCTTCCAAAACCAGAGCATACCTCCATCCCCATGAGCTATAGTCTAAACTCCTAGTATCCCCCCTTGTAAGCCCTATAGTACTCCCTACATAATCAAGATATAGCCCTCCTTAAGGAGTTCAAACTAAAGGACATCTGAAATTCAGGGGTTGCCCGACTTGCTTTGAGGCCTGGTTCAGTAGTGATCTGAAGTGGCTTGGGGTTTTTGATTTTCCTCTTCAGGCCCTGTTGGTTTGGTAGACAAGCATGGTGGTCTTGCGGTTTTCAGATCACTTTCAGAACCTCAAACCCTAAAACCTGAAGCCCTAAACCCTAAAACTGAAAGCCCTAAAGCCCTAAACCCCTAAACCCTAAACCCATTAACCCCAAAACCCCAAAACCCAGCCATCCTCCCCGCATGCCTTGTTCAGCTCCAGAGCTCTGCTGTCAGTGCTTGCCTCGTGCCCGCCCTTCCGCTCGCCTACGTCCCCTCGCCACTGGGTTGGTGTTAAGGATATAGGGTTAAGGGTTAAGGCTTGAGGGTTTAGGTGTTTAGGGTTTAGGGTATATTATCCCCCTAGAACGGAGAATCACATGGAAAAGCAAATGGAACATGAAATGGAAACTGGGGGGAATATAGGGACTTAAGGAATTTGATTTAAGTTGCTATATTGGGAAACCCTAATTTCAACCATATATTATACACCCATTATGGAAATTGAATTTAAGTTCCTGAACAGCAACCCAGGCCAGCCATGGAGGGCCTTGACAACGGTGACACCGCGTGGATGGCCATGTCCTGTGCCTTGGTGCTCTTCATGACGCCTGGGTTGGCATTTTTTTACGGAGGACTAGTACGCGATAGCAACATCGTCAACACCATGATGATGAGCATCATCTCCATGGGGCTCACGACCCTCACTTGGTTGATCTTTGGCTTCACGTGGTCTTTCGACGAATGGGGCGTTGGCAAGGGCTTCACGTACGTGGGCTTCCGTAACCTGGACACGGTGTGGCCCGACACCACGATGCCAGGCAAGATTCAGTGATGTGGGGGTTGATCTAAAGGTCCTTTGGGGAACTTCTTTACCAGTCCTGTACGTCTGCAACATAATTCCGGAGAAAAATATCCACGTAATGGCCATGTTTCGTAGCAGGAATTGTTTCAGCCCCCATGCGTGGAGTATGATATCTATTTACATCTCTCGGGTGCCCGAATGCACCTCTGTTTTGAGAACCTCCGGTCTGATCGTGCTTCCAATCATTCCCACCTAAAATTCGCCTTCAACCCTAGACCCCTAGCCTATGCCAGGCATGACCTTCGCCGTTTTCCAGATGACCTTCGCCATCATCGCAGCAGTTTGGCAGCAAATGCAAATGCTTCAGCATTCTGAGCTGACTTTGGCGTGGGCGGCTCTAAATACAAGTTTTGTCAATTTTAGGCAGAGACGAAAAAGGGCTCCCAATTGCCCTCCCACCCCTGAAAGCTTTCAGACGGGGCTTCAAAGCAGGATACCTACCCTGGCTTCCGAATTTTTAGGGGGTTTAGGGTGGTTTTGGGTAGAGGGCTTTAGAGTCTTTTAGGTGTATTTAGGGTGTAAAACTGCAATTTTAGGGTGTACGCGGGGTTAGGGTTTTAGGGTTTTAGGTGTATTTAGGATGTAGGCCGCAATTCCTAGCGCTCATTTTATAGGGCCTGCTGGTGGCAGTGTTGATGTGACAATGCCAGGCTACAATCCATCCAAGCTCCGAGGGTTTATGCATTGTAGGGTGTAGGGTTTAGGGGTAGGGTTTAGGGATTAGGGTTGAGGGATTAGGGTTTAGGGATTAGGGAGGTTTATGAACCCCTGGCCTGGTATCAACATGGGTTCCAATCTTGAATACTTCTCAAGAATTTTGTCATATCATCCTAAAAATCAGGGGTCTCCTTAAGTCTTTGTAGAATCCCTTTGTAACGCGCCAGCCCTTACATCCTAAACCCTGAACCGCCTGAACCCTAAATTTAAAACCCTACATCCCAGGCCCTGAGTTCCTTGGAGCTCTTAAGGGTATAGTCCCCCCTAAGTAGATAGAACATGGCTTTGGGTATATTACAATAAGATCCCCATATACCCCATATTCTATCTACTTAAGGGGGACTATACCCGAACCCTGCATTTCTAAGGCAGCGATTATCTCGGGAGCCGTGGTTGAGCGCATCCGCTTCTCCGCCCCTGGGATTTTATTGCCCAGTGGTAGGAGCTTGGAGTGTATAGGATTCCAAGCTTACTTAGGGTTTCGGGTTTAGGGCTTAGGGATTAAGGGTTCAGGAGTCAGAGTTTGCTGTAGGAGGGTTGAGGGTTCAAGGCCCTTGGTTGCCCTGACGGCAATGGGAGGCGGTTGATTGACTGTGACCTACTTCAGGCCGATGTTCGACATAAGTAAAATGACCCATGCGCGGCCTAGCAGACCTCATGCTTGGCTTACATCTGAGCCGTGGTCTAAACTCCTAGTATCCCCCTTCATGACCCCTATCATACTCCCGTATACATTCCCCTAGATAAGCCCATTTAAGGAGTTTAGATTATAGCTCATATAGCAGCAGTCCTGAGTCGCCGAAGCTTGCTTGGAGGCTTAAGAACTGGAGACTCGCTGCTTTGCTTTTCAGGGATTTACGGGTCTAGGGGCCGGATCTGCGGGGCTTGCTATGGACATGTGGGGCTGTTGGTGGTGCAGTAGGTAGTACATGGAGCTTAGATGTTAAAACACTGCGTAGTTAGGTCCAGTGATTCAACCCTAAACCCTCAGCCTCTGAACCCTTTGGCCAGTTTTTTTATCGGCAGGTTGTTCGAATGGAATGAAGGGAAGTCACCCAATAGCAAGCCCTGTATGTGTTTTTTTCATCACTTTCTGTTCCATTCCTTCATTCCCTAATAACCAGTAAGGCCTGAACCCTACAGATATTTATAACCAGCTTCCACTCAATCTTCCATCTGCTTTTTTCCTTTGATTTTCTTTTCTTCTACATGACAATCCCGATACACGCCCCTCCCATAAGGTTCATCCAGCTTCCATTGAATTACTAATTTTATTGTCTATGATTCTTCGTTGTTTCATTGCTTAATTTTGGGTCCTACACCCTAAGCCCTAGCCCCTAGTCGATTACAACTATAGTACGCTGTTGCAGGAATTTGGTACGAAGTTGACATTAATTCTAGGTACAAACCCTGAACCCTAAACCCTAGATTGGTTAGAGCATCCCTACCCTCTATCCTAAATCCAAATCCCTAAAGGCCGGGCAAGTTTCCACGACCTCCTCACCGGGGTTCGGAGTTCAGGATTTAGGATTCAGGGCTTCGAGCTTAGAGTGTAGGGTTTAGAGCCTAGGGTTTAGGTTTCCGGGGTTAGGGTTTAGGGTTCAGGATTTAGGGGGGTCCCTTGGAAGGGGTAGGAGGACCCCACCCCCCCCGGCACCGTAATAGTGGTAAAATAGAAATATAGGAGGACCCTGATATAGTTACCACTATCCCTTATACTGACTAAGTACACGGTGGGGGGTCCACCCAAGTTATAGGGGTTATGCAGGGGATAGGGGTTTAGGGTTTAGGGATATAGAAGCCATAATAATTAGTGGGAGATCCGATGGATAAGAACAGGGTTTAGGGTGTAGGAAAATGAAGTTGAAACGGTGTTATCTAGTTGTTCATAAGCATTGACCTTACTTACAAAACTGTTGTTTATAGGGAAAATGGTCATCAAAGTGACAGAGTCAAAGTGGCTTAATTTGAGGTTCTTAACTTGTAATACATGGCCATTTGAGGCCATTCGAAGGATTTCAGAGAACAGGTCAGCGAGTCACTTCTTTCATTGCACGCTTTTTGAGAACACATCCGCGAACGCTACTTGGAGGGTCAGGGGGACTCAGGAAAAATACCTATAGCCCAGGTAAGCGATGAAACAACCTCCAGTTCTCCCCGAGTATTAACCTACTTACACCCTAAACCGCAAGGCCCCCCCTCCCCCCCCCAAACCCTAAACCCCACCTACCTACTAAGACACCCTGACCTTCCAACTAAAACTTAAGCATTGATGAAAAAGACCTAGCTGAAAACTGGTAGGGAAAAAGACGAGCCATAACCAAGTCATATTCCATGGTCTCTTATTTATAGCTCTTGTTCTAGGTAACAGTAGTGTTTCTTTGGTTTCTTACTACCTGGGCACGAAACCCTTGGACAGCTAGGCCTATGCCATCTTCATCGTCATTTGGGTCCTGGCAGTGTACCTTGGTGGTCTGCTCAAGGCTCTTTCTATGCTTCCGCTTGTGCCATGTGAATTGTAGTTAGTCTAAAGTCCTTATAAATATGGCTCGTGCGGTGCTTGATAGTAGAGCGAAGGGGTACATACATGTCATTTCAGGGCCGAAGACCAGAGCTCTCTGCTCTTGCCAAGTGTTGCTTGGTGGAGCTCAACTGGTGTATATGTGGATATATATATATACATATATTTATATCTATATGTACGTACGTGTACATATGTGTATATCTAGACTTACATACAAACATGTGTATATATACACATATTTATAAAGGTATATGTGTTTGTATGTGTATATATATACACATTATATATATATATCTGTATATATATATATATTCACAGCCGAAGGCAAGAGTTCTGAACTGGCGTCTTTCCATGCTAGGGGCCATGAGCTCAGGTACGTGCCGCTGTGCCACTGGATCTGGGGCGGTGGCTGGATCGCAGAGATGGGTGCCAAGGACAGTTACGCGCTGCAAACAGTAGGCTTCCCCTGTCATATCCCTAGGGCAGAGAGCACGCGCCCCGAACCCCCAGCGCATAGAACTTAGAACGCGTGCATCCTAACGCCGAGCTTTGTACTTGCGTGAAGGATTTCGCGGGAGGTACCGTCGTGCACATCAGCTCGGGCACCTCGGCGATTGCGCTGGCGTCCCTGCTGGGTGAGCGCAAGCACCGCGCGGAGAGCTTCCCGTCGAACCTGCCCTTCGTGATCCTCGGCGGAGGCATCCTCTGGCTGGGCTGGACCGGCTTCAACGGCGGCTCGGCCTTCGCCGCCAATGGCGACTGTGCTCTGGCCATCGCCACCACCTACGTTGCGGCTGCGGCCGCGATGGTGGCTTGGCTGTTTGTTTGAGTGAGTGTCATACACAGCATAGGACAGAAGTCAACTTGCCGTCTTTTCGTGTGTCCCTTTGATTCCAGTTGTGGCTCAGATCATGTGGGTCACCGTGGAGCGCATCCTGGACGGAGCCCCCACGTCCATCGGCGCCATGTCGGGAGCAGTGGCAGGACTTGCGACTTGTTTTGACATAAACCATGGCCAGGCAGTGTTTACACTTCACTGCCTCACGGTTCCACGTAGCCATGAGCTGATAAGGTGAACATCACTCCGTGCGCTGGCTTCGTGGAGCCC